TGGCGTGCTTTATTGAGTTCGGCCAAAATCGTTTACAGCGCCAAACAAGAAAGAGACGGAGAAGCACTTCTATTTTATAAGCACCTCATTTAACACATATTTATGCATGCACTTAAGTACATAAGTATACAAATTAGCATAATTTTCTAAGTCGAACAATTATCACCTGCCAATCTGATTTTGGCCACAATTGTTGCCAATTAGCACTTCAGCAGAACACTTAGTTTGATATGTATGTACATATGTAGGTAGGTACATACTTGTATGTGTGTACGTTTCTTAATGTGTCTATACGTACATATACTTGTACATATATTTATCTAATTTAGTTTACTCCGCCCTTCTCATTTTGATAGCATTTAATTTGACGCTGCCCACCAGAGTGCAGCGCACTGAAAATTGCAAAGCAACAAAAACAATAAATTGCACCTCTCTCACCTTGACACAATTTCATGGTTTGTCGTATTTGTCGCCGGCAAAGGTTTCACCGGCTGTTGCAGCTCAGGTGCGCATTTAAATGCTTGCCAAGTAGATTTCATTTAATCCCCACGACCCTGACTCACTAGCTCTCACCTAGAAGTATGTAAATAAACGAACATGAAACTAAAAAGCAAAACTAAATACGTAAATAATTGTGGCAAAAACAGCAACAAAAACCACCGCGTGTACAACCTTTCTAAGCGAACATATTAACCAACTAAATAACTATACCATACCACCCACTTGTCGGTTGTTAGTGTTGTTGTTGTTTTTTTCCTTTCTTTTCGTTTAGTTTCTTTTGTGTAAGCGGCCTTAATGACTGGCTGACTTAAAGCAAATTGAGTGTTTTAACTATTCTACTCACCGGCGTTGTTTTTGTTGCCACTAAGCCTGTTGTATTTAGCGCTCGGTGTTGAGGTGGCAATTAATTGACCCAATGCTTTTTATGCTACATACATAAATAGTAGTAAGGCTGCATTTACCTTGTAACATCGTGTTTTTCATCTAATTCCCAGCATGTCGTACAATTTTCGTATTTATGCCCCCTTTTAAATTGTGTTTATTACAAGTAAGGCTGCTATGTTAAGATTGGTTGTACATATGTACATATATATGTAGGTACTAAGTACAACTTAAAATTAGGGCCCCTACCTTGCATATAATTACGGATGTTAATTTTAATTATATGTACAAAATACGTTTAGCAAGTCGTTCTTGAAGCTTTTTCTCCCGTATATGGAGCACTTTATACATATGTACTAAGGCGTCTTGCTCTTTATGATACGTTTTAGGAGCAACGAGTAGTTAGGTTAGGTGGCCATCCCAGAAGTAAGGACCTAACTAAGACAATTGAGGGATTGTCCTTTCTGATCCCATATTCTAATATCGATAAAACGTTCCGATCCGATTATGTAATTAAGAATCTTTAAGGCCATTGAATGCGTGATAAAAAAAAAATAGGAAGAGACGTAAGAATTTACGTATCTGCAAGGCAATATCCAACCCTCTAGTTAGGTTTAGTACTCTCTCAGGGAAATGCTTGGGGGGCTGACGGGACAAAAGTAATGTTGACCTAAATGCCTTAGAAAGTTTATGGGTGCAATTGTATACTAATTAGTTCGCGACTTATGTATATCTTACTGGTACAGCTAACGATGCAATATTACTATTTACGCACGACTGCTAACACCGGACGCCTAAATGCATGCTACGCACTGTTGCATGTGCAAAAATTTCCTGTATTTAATTTATGAAATTTTTGCACATGCACTTCTCAACTGCCATGTGATAAAACTTACTTAATTATAATTTGATGACACTTCAAAGTATGCTCGATCTAATCTGATGCATCCTCCTGACAATTCTGGCGGAGTTTTCTGCGCACTCTGCATGGCTGACAACCATGCCATACCATTAGCCACAGTGCCTACCCACTACTATTTAGTACAATCACATTTTTTTTATATAAACACATGGCTGGCAAATCTGAGCTCCCATGTAACCAGTTTAGCTCTTTTGAGGCTAGATATACCATTAAGTTGTTCTCCAATAATTTTCTAAGCTTGTTTACCTCAGATACTTATACATACGTACATAATAAAATTCGCACATGAAATTATAAAAGTGAGTAGTGTTCATACTAAAACCCCTTAATATTTAAAAAAAACTACACAGTTTACCATTCAAAAATTATAATGGCAATATAAACGATTAAAAAAAGAATAGTACAAAAATATTTTCTGGAACGGTGTTTTTTACAAATTGATATTTTTACCCGGTTTAAGTCTAATTGACCGAGACACCTAGAAGAAGATAGAAAAAGATTTAGCCCTAAAATTCAACGTGTTAAACTCTCCAAACACAATTTAATCCAAACTGAATAAAAACGACGCACCCTGTAGATTCAATTTATATCATAACAAGTATTGACTTACATATGTATGTATAGGGCTGCATGAATGCATTCAAAATATGTATGTATGTATGTATTGCTGCGCTCGTATTACATACGAAAAAACTTGTTTGTAGAAAAAAACTTTTACCGAAATGAGTTTGAATGATTTGAATGTTTTCCATTCATTCATTCACATTCTTCAATATGAAGGTAGAAATTTTAAAACAAAATATATATTCATAACTTACAAAATTCCAAACGCTGAGTGTTTTGTTTGTGAAGTAAAATATTCAAATCTGCTGTACTATGTTTGGCTAGAAGTTTGAATGAATTCATGCAGCCCTCTAGTATGTATGTTTGTTTCAAAATCAGATTTCAAAAATTTTAAAATTTTTGAAATGTTTTTTTTATATTTTTTTTTAGTTTTTAATGTAGTTTTTAAGTTTGTGATTTTGTTAAAGTTTTGTTTTTGTATTAGTTATCTTTAGTTAATCGAAAGTGTTAAAATTCAAAATTGTACCTATGTACATGTAATCCGTTTTTACGAAATTGGCAGAAGTGGAAAATTTATGCAAATAATCACAAAGTTTTAAAATTTCTTTATGTTTTTTTTTGCATTGCAAGCACAGCAACCTGCAGGGTGACGAGCTCAATTGACAAGAGAAGTGGTTGCAATTTGATTGCATTTATGTACTATATGATAACCACAAATGGTGCCTTTGTTTTGCGGTTTGTTCCATTATGAAATTTGTGGCTTTCATTATGAAATTGCAAATTTGTGTTTGCGAAATTCATTGCATTATCGGCTTGTTTTTTTTTGTGGTTTGCTCTGTGGCTTATGTATTTATGCAAAAATATATATACATTAGGGCGGGTCAATTTTCTTGCCTGTGCGCGTATAGAATAGGGGGATTCTACGGGTAATTTTAAACAAATTTTCCGAAGAAACTAATGGTCTAAATTCAATTTTTAGTTTGCCAAATTGCGAAAATAGGTTTCGAAGGAAATGGGAGAATTTCGCAGTTGAGTCCTCTGTGTGTGGTTTAAGAAATAGATAAATGCAGAAATGGATTCCTGATTCCCAAAACCCCTTATAGCGTGTTTTTATTCAACATTTAAGCACTTATTTACTACACTTTAGCCTACCTATTTTCACAATTTGGTAAACTCCCAATTGATTTTAGAGCCATGATTCCTTCGGAAAATTTGCTTAGAATTGCACGTAGAATCCTTCTATGCTATACTCGCATGTAAATGTATGCAGTGGCGCTCATAAATATTCCGGTAATTAAAAAAATATTTTTATATTCGTTGTTTTATCATTTCGCATGAAATCTGTTGAAGCATTTGCCTGGTTGCTGCAACAGCATTCGTCAACAAATAGTGCGCCTAACAGTATGCAACAGCTTCGTTCGTCTACGTTAGTTATGCATGGACATATGCAATTTTCATACGTTGTTTGAGAAAGTTTGTTCAAGAATGAGAGGTGGGATAACCAGCATTCAAATTGAAAGTTAAATCAGATTTTTCGTTACTTTTTAGCCCCATGGTCGCCACTGCTTACGACGATAGTTTGAAAGCTTAGTTATTTGAATTGCAGAATGTGCTTATATGTGAACATTTGGAACTAAAATCTTTACAGTTTTGAGCTACGAATATCTAAATTTTATCCTTTTAGAGCAAACATTATTGCAACGCCCCGTGCACCTCATTTAGCTGAAATGCGCAAATTCTGGAGAAGGGTGTATTTCCTTTTAGGTGTGATAATCTAGAATGGGTATTTGAAAACGAGTAGGAGAAATTAGAATAAGTCCTTATCCATACTCATACTCGCAGATACTCATACCAATACTCATACTCTTACTTTTACTCATACTCATGTTCATACTCATACTTTTAGTCTTACTCATACTCAAACCTATTTTCGTATTCGTACTCATGTTCATATTTATATTTTTGTATATTCTTATTCATATTAATATTGATATTTATATTCATATACTTATCCATATTCATACTCATTATAATATTGAGTTTCATACTCGTATTCATATATACGTATCCAACTCATCTTCTGACTTTCACTTCCACACAAACTATGTACATACTCATATGTGCTTGTAGTCGTAATTGAAGTGATACCCATGCCCATACTCATACTTACACATATTCATAATCATAACCATGCTCATTCACACTCATGCCCATGCTGAATTCATAAGTACTTATGTATGCCCCTACTATATTTATACTTGTATCTGAATTGACACTTATATCCATACTGAGACTCATGCTTATACTCGTGGTCATACTCATACTCATATTCATATAAAAACTTGTGCTCATCATAGTATTGAAAATATACACTCATACTTATACTTAGATACTCATAATTATACTTATAGTCATAATCTTACTAATACTCATCAACTCATTTTTACATCCTTAATTATCACTCGTTTAAAGTGGTTCATATTCATACCTATACTCTGACTCATACTTATACTAGTTTTAAATTTAATTTTCATATTTAAAAGTATAGAAACCAAGCTTAAGCACATACCACCAACACATGCAATTTCCTAAATTCTTTCTCTAACTTTTTCTTTTGTTCTTCTTCTTCCAGAATCCGTCGACACTACACATAGTCATAATATTAAAACCAATAACGAGAACGTATCCTCAAATTGTAGTCTATCCTCCGCATCAGCCACTGCCAAATCGAGCTGCCAGCAAACTTCGATATACGATAAATCAAAACATCTACAACAACAACGAGTATCGTCTAAACAACAATCACAACAACAAACTGGAACTAAAGCCCACACACGTTATCAGGGTGTACATCCCCATTTTCATCACCACACCACACCCGCCTACTATACTGATGTCAATCTACACATTCACACCCCAAAGGCCAATGATGTTGCCGCCTTAAATGAGAATTACCAAAGTGTCTATAGTACACCATCACAGTTGGTCAATGAGCATTACTTTCCGAAGACCAGCACCGCTACAGTAGTGCCACCGCCAATTGGGACAGGTACAGCAGCTATTGGCAGAGCCAATACTACATCGCCCACATCAGTTGCTAAGCGGGATCGTGAACGCATTTTCTCGCCGGATAGCGCGATCAGCAGCCAAACCAAAAGCAATAGCGCATCTGTTGCACGTGCAGCTTTTTTTCGTGGCGGCTCTGCGGGCAGCAGCGTCAACAGCGGCGAAAGAAGAAACTGCGAAACTTCTGTAAAGTCGTCGCCAGCATTTGGGCGCCCTGCAAAGAAAGGTGAATTTAACGATAACGAACAATCATACACACCATACGATACGATCAGTGGTAGTACTAGTTTTGTTGTTGATACACAAAGTAGTGAATGTAGTAAAAGTAATAATGATAATAATAATCAATTAGACAACACGATAGATACATATAAAACACAACACAATAGCAACAATAACATACCCATAACGTCCCCCACATCGGCAGGCAATACATCGCCGTCGGCATCTGTATCAGCATCCGCCTCGGCTTCGGCTTCTGCTTCGGCTTCCGGTCGCAGTCGTCACACAAATCGTTTCGCTGGTAAAAAACGCGCAGTGCGCGTGCGCAGCGAGAGTCGACCGATCAGCGCGCTCTATGACATAATATGCAAGGAGAAGGGGCTGGATATTGGTACCAGCACAACCAACGACGAGGACTCATCATCGGCACGATCAAACGACGACGAAAGTCGAAGCGCTCACAACAAGCGCAGCAATAGCAGTAAAGAACATAGCCGCCAACGCAGCATCAGTAGAAATAGTAATAGAAAAAATAGTAACGATTATACAGAGATCTCAAATTGTCTGACTGCTTTCGTCGCGAATTCATTGTCCAGCAACTTGGGTGGACACAATATGGAGAATGAAGCGAAAGTTGTTTCAGTGACTGGTGACCCAACAAAATCACCGTATGACCGCTCGAAACGCGCGCACAAGTCACGTACACCGAACAGTCAAAAGTCCGGCTCCAAGAAGCGCAAAGACTTGGGTAAAACCAAAGCCGCCGCCGCAGCCACAGCGGCCACTGTTGTCATGCGCAGTGCAAGCGATGAGGAGGAGCTAAACGGCGACACCAGCGAAGATTCAAACGAGCGACGCGCACACGATGTACTCTCGCCACGCTCAAAATATCGCGCAGACTATAGCCGCACAATGAATGGCACGGAGAAGGCGTCCTCCCTACCGCCACGCCTACATGGCACGGCGCGCAACGGCAAACAAGCGTCACATCAACAGAAGTCAGCCTGTTACGCCAATGCCGCCGATTCGAATACATATCCGATTATGAAGAAGTGTCCACTTCATTGCGAATCATCTGAATCATCAAGCGCCGCTCATCGTTCGGCTCATTATTATCCACTCGATTATCATCAATCCACATTGCCATCACCACCACCACCAAACCTGTCATCCGGTCCATGTAGTAGTATACGCTCGCCCAACAACGCCACCGCAACAGGCGATGACGATAGTCTCATGGTAGTTAATAGCCTCGGCTACTCCCCAGACAAGTTGTACTTTGAGCCTGTAAATCTGAATCTTAGCGGTATTTCATCCAGCACAGCTAGTGGTAAAAATGCGAATAGTAGTAGCAGTGGCGTAGTTGTTGAGCAAACGTCCAGCAATAGTACGGCGCGAAGCCAGCAGCAACGCATTAGTCGGGCTCAGCAGCGACGACTGCGTGAAGAAATGCGTCGTCATACGGATCTACCGCAACTGGACTCGCTCTCGCCGACCACGCTAAGTAGTCAATTGGAGCAAGTGGAGAGAGCGCTAAGCGAAGATGAAGGTGTTGCGGGCATCAAGCAGCTCAAGAGTCGCGGAAACAAGGCGAGAAGGTAAGTGATGGCTTTATTTTGCTGTAGTGTTTTATAGTTTAAATTAGTTTAAATAGTTTCCTATTAAAAGTATTCTCGGGTGTACGCTGTTTTTTAGAAGGAGAAACTCTAGAAAATTTGAACCGAACTTTCTGATTAGCAGCTTTCGGAAACCAACCTGGCACACACTAGCAAATTTAGGTCAATCTTAGCTCGGTAAACCGTCTATGTACGTATGTATCTGTATGTAAAGATGTTATATCTAAAAACAAAATTCTATGTTCGTATTCGATGCTTTAGAAATGTCCCGAATTTTGGCCGCAGAAATCTGGTCACCGTACATATACCCTATAAACATTCGGTCTCATGATGAAATGCTGTATCTCTCACTCATGACCACAAATGTGTATCTCGGTAACCGATTTATCAATTTCTACCAAACTCGGTGCACTTAATAACCTTGGTACGAAAAAGCAATTTGTTGAAAATTATTCAAATCGGACTAAAATTACACCCGCTTCCTGTATAACGGTAAATTTCAGAAATACGAAAACCACGATATTTCAATGAGGTCGCTAATTTACTCCAAGTTAATAGTTATAACAATCTCCTAACAATAAATAAGACTGCTATAGACTTTTAGGAGTTGGGCGTAGCACCGCCCACTTTATAACTACAAAGGCGTACCTCTTTAACCACTTAATCGATTTGTACCTAACTAGGTTCAATTATATCATTAAGTCTTCTTCTTCTTCTTCTTCTTCTTCTTCTTATTTGGCGCTGTAACCGCCTAAGCGATTGTGGCCGTGTTCAACAAATCATGCCAGTCGTTTCTCCTCTCTGCCAACTGGCGCCAATTGGAAATGCCAACTGAAGCCAAGTCCTTCTCCACCTAGTCTTTCCATCTCAGTGGAGGCCTCCGTCGTCCTCTACTACCACCAGCGGGTTCCGAGTTGAATACTTTCAGAGATGGAACGTCGGTCTCCATTCGAACGACATGACCAAGGCAGCGGATCCGCTGTATTTTAATTCGCTGCACTATGTCCATGTCGTTGTAAAGCTCATACAACTCATCGTTCCATCGTCTGCGGTACTCGCCGTCGCCAACGCGTAAAGGCCCGTAAATCTTCCGCAAAATCTTTCTCTCAAACACTCCAAGAGCCGTCTCATCGGATGTTGTCATTGTCCATGCTTCTGCGCCATATACCAGCACGGGCATGCTGAGCGACTTATAGAGCGTGGTTTGCGTACGTCGAGAGAGGACTTTACTCCTGATTTGCCTACTCAGTCCAACGTAGCACTTGTTGGCTAGAGTGATTCTGCGTTGGATTTCCATGCTGACATTATTATCGGTGTTAATGTTGGTTCCCAAGTAAACGAAATTCTCTACTTTCTCGAAATTGTAACTGTCAACAGTGACGTGGGTGCCAAGGCGCGAATGTGCTGACTGTTTGTTTGATGACAGGAGATACTTCGTCTTGTCCTCGTTTACCACCAGCCCCATTTGCTTTGCTTCCTTATACAACTTGGAAAAGGCAGAACAGACTTCGCGGTTTCTGATACCGATGATATCGATGTCATCGGGATAAGCCAGCAATTATCTTCCCCAACATCAGATTAAAGAAGTCACATGAAAGAGAGTCGCCCTGTCTGAAGCCCCGTTTGGTGGCGAACGGCTCGGAGAGGTCCTTTCCAATTCTGACGGAGCTGATGGTATTGTTCAAGGTCATTTTACACAGCCGTATGAGTTTTGAGGGGATGCCAAATTCAGACATAGCGGTGTATAGGCAACTCCTTTTAGTGCTGTCGAAAGCGGCTTTAAAGTCGACAAATAGGTGGTGAGTGTCGATCCTTTTCTCGTGGGTATTTTCCAAGATTTGGCGTAGTGTGAATACCTGGTCTATGGTGGATTTGCCAGGTCTAAAGCCACACGGATAAGGCCCAATCAGTTCATTGATGGTGGGCTTCAGTCTTTCACACAATACGCTCGATAAGACCTTATACCCGATGCTTAGAAGGCTGATCCCACGGTAGTTGGCGCGAATGGCGTGGTCGCCTTTCTTGTGGATTAGGCAGAGCACACTTGAATTCCAGTCGTCGGGCAGTTCCAGTTCATCTGACCATATTCTGCACAAGAGTTGATGCATGCACCTTATCAACTCATCGCCGCCGCACTTGAATAGCTCAGCTGGCAGGGTGTCAGCTCCAGCAGCTTTGTTGTTTTTCAGCCGCGTTATTGCTATTCGTACCTCGTCATAGTCAGGCGGAGGGATATCGACTGCGGGCTCGGGTTCTTCTTCTCCACAACTTTCCGTGCTGCTACCATTCAGTAGCGTGGAAAAGTGTCCCCTCCATAATTTAAGTACGTCCATTAAGTCGTACCCTGCATATTATCGGAAACGTTTGAAATCGGGTAAACATCCCTACTTATCATGCGAAGGTAGTTCAGGGCAAGGTGAAACGACGATATTTGATACCTGCGCCGGGTATGTAAAGTTCGTATTCGCCCGCACTTATACTTCTTTGCTTGTTTAATTTTAATTTAATTTTAATTTTTAATGTTTTAAAAAGATTTTTTATTTTTTTTATTTAATTAAAATAAAAAACTTAATGCTATAAGAATTGCTCTGTAAATGTGTTGATTTGCATTTCACATTGTAGATAACAGCTGCTAGTGAAAAGTCATTCGAAGTGCACAGCTTTCTGCCGATTATTTACAGCTTTCGCTCCTATTCAAACTTGGACTTGTCTTCAATTTCGATTTGACTAAAAACACCTGCCATTCCCTGAAAAGATTTACTTTCGTTTTTGTTATGCAATTGTGTTATGCATATGGATTTAAAATTGTCAACTTTTTAGTTTTTCATATAGTACAATGCCCTTACAGCCGTACGAAGTTTGTACATAGATCTCTAAAACCCAAAAAGCCTTTTAATGCACTGTCAATTCATATATGCCGAAATTTCAATAACAACACAACCACCGGTTTTTCGAACGCCTTAATGCGCTTCTCATCCAATTTTTCGCTGTCATATATTTATTGATTTTTTTCTTTTTGTTAGCTAAGATTTTATTGCACTTTCGCTGGAAATATTCAAAGTGGCTCAAATGATTTCTTTCTGGTTTTTTTCACCTTAGTTTCATATCACTACAAACATCCAATAAACACAAAGTTTTTTTTCTCATTTTCCAATGAAGAATTCGGCATTTGACTTTAAATATCTTTTCGCCTAGTGCATTGGATTTTGTATGCAAGCGCTGTGCTTCCAATTAGGCTGGCGAATATACGCCAAACAGATTTAAGTGCTTGCGCACCGCACCGACTGGCACCAAACCAAAGGGGTGTGGCGACGGCGCCACTCTGTCTGCGACTAACCTCAATAAATGCATACATAAGTATCTAGTCTTAAATGCTGCTTGTCGATGGCGGTCGATGTCGCCTCGCTACAGCTAACTGCTATCTGACTCTTATCCGCCATCCACAGTCACAGCTATTAATTTGCGATGTAAATTGATGACTGGCGTTGATACAAGCGTCTACGCATGCGCGTCAGCAACTTGTTATTCACGCACTTTTTAACCAACTTACACAAGTACATATGGACATTAGGGCGGAGTAATTTGTCCGGAGCAAAAAATTTTCGAAGAAAATGGAAAGCAAATTCAGATTCCACGATTATTTCTACGCAAAAATGGTCAAAAATGACGTTTGACCTCCCCAATCTTCAAATGAAAAGCCGTATATTGTATGTAGGAAACACAAAATTTTGTAAATAAAAAATTAATTTCGTTCAGAACAAATTATAATATGCACATTAGTATTTCTTTTAAAAGTTGGGAGCGTCAAACGTCAAGTTTTTTGTTTGTTAGAAGCGATACACTTTTTTCGAAATTAAACTACTCCGCCCTAATGGACATACATATGTACGTTCGATCCATGGGAAGTTGCTATCAACTTGGCTTAATATTTTCATTTAAGTTTTTCATAATTTGGTTTATTTGATTTTTTTTTGTGATTTCTGGTTTTTAGTTGGCACTGTTTTCGCCTACTTTTGTGGACATACAACATGAAATTTAAGGCGTTTACTGCTTGATATGTTAAACAATTTTTTGTTTTGTGGCTAGCTAATTAAAGCATTGCATCCATTTATCATCTGGAGATACTCGTTTTTAGGATTTGATAAATGCACTAGTTGGATACGAGATATAATTTAATTATTTTCACTTAAATTTTCGGTTGAGTTAAGTGAGTTTAGTTGGTTATCCCCAGTCGTAGGCGAAACACATGGTTCCAGAGCGATGACACCCAAGACTTCTCATCTGTCAAGAAGTAGACCACACGAGGTCAGGCGAGCACCCAGACTTACTCTACCCGAGAGCACTTTCTCAAGGGTTCCCTGTCTTTCCAGCTCTTGCAGCAGTTTCTAGCAATTTCGCTGTGACGCGGGTACCCAAAAAAGCTTAATAGCGAAGCGATGCGGTCGATATTTTATTATTATTGTTGGGGATAAAGCACTGCGACCTTGAGATCTTTTGTGCCCCCTTCATAGAGAAATCTTATTATGGAACCTAAATCTACGGACTTTACTACGCCTTTGGTTATCAGTTGTTCATCATCCTGCATCAGTGCAGGACATTCTTCTAAGATATGCTGTGCAGTCTCGTATTCATCCTGCAAAATCTGCATCGCTCATGCGAGTAAATTCCCAAATTAGTCATGTCGCAAATTAGTCGATTTGGCAGCTCTATCTGAGTGATAAACAACATGCTAGACAGACGTGACCAAAACAACATGGCCGCCAGAGGCTGATGAGATGATTGTGTGGACTCAAGGCCAATATGGTCGGGGTTAAGCCTGAACAAGACGCATGACCTTCGGAAACTTAACAGAACTGCAGTAAGTGTTTTTACAGGCATTATTTTAGTGCACTATGCTATTGTGCCGATGCTTCAACGATGGCGAATACCGGTGGGTCCCTCTGCCGAAGCCATCGCGATGTGAATTAGGAGGAATCAGTTAA